TACCTGTGTTTGCCCTCTCTATCTCTAATTGTTTTGGAGGTTTTAATGAGATCATCCTTTATTTCGAAACTGGAGAACACAGGCCCAGTTTGCCCAATTTCTCTGCATAGGACAGTCCCACCATCCCAGGTGAACCTTCCTTATACTCCCTCTAATGGCAATGATGTCCTTCCAGAGAAGTCCAAAGCTGCTCACAGTACTCCGGGTGCAGTCTAACCATGCTCCTATACAACTGAAGCTCGACTTCACTACTGCAGTACTCAAATCTTCCAGTAATGAAGGTTAATATTCCTCTCACCTTCCTAATAGCTTGCTGCACCTGCATGTTAACCTTCTGTGATTTAATTGACAAGGACATCCAGGTCCCTTTATACATCTACAATTTCCAATCTCACACCATTGAAGAAATACTCTGCTCATCTGTTCATCCGATGAAAGAGTACCAATTTTTGTTCCATTTTACCAATTCAAAGTTGAATGTCCGAAGAAACATTAAAGCTAATATTTATTTTTGACAAGTAGTCACTACTATAATGTAGGAAGTCTGGATACCAATTTGTAAACAGCAAGCTCCCACAAGCAGCAATTAAATAAATTAGTAGATCATCTGCTTTAGGTGTGTTTGAGGGATAAATATTGCCCAAGGCAGGGAGAGAGCTCCTTTGCTTTTTAAATACAGTGGAATAAGCAAGCCCCCGGTTTAATGAATTAACTGAAAGTCAGCACAAACAGCGGCACACTCCCCAGTTGCCTCAGTAGAGTGTCAGCCCACGTTATGTGCTGAAGTGAAGACATGAAGAGGTGAGAGAGCCACTGACTGATCTGCAGCTGACACCAATCCCTAAGCAATAGTCACTGCCTAAACTCATGCCCTTCTCAAGGGCAGTTAGAGATTGGCAACAAATACTGGACTTGCCTGCAGAACGCACATCCCATGACATGGGATGCTTGGATAGCTGGTATTGCACTGTGAAGCTGTGCAGAGTGTTACTTGATACTGTTACAGGGATGTTTAAGGCAGAAAGCATTTTTTAAATAAAAGCCTACAAACTGAATTCTAGATTGTGGAGAATTTAACGTTTTTCACCTCATCAATCTGTGCAGAGGTGTTATTACACATCTCTGGAGCAGATGAGACTTGAACCCAAGCCTGCTAGTCTAGGGGTAGGAACATAACCTCTGCACCACAAGTGTAGAGATTTTGATGCAGTTACAGTGACACAATGCTGTAATGCTGAGCAGGATTTTCACTCTAGGGGTGGGGAAAGGCGGAGTGCTTTGTTTCCAGGTGCCCATGGCATATTGTGATTTTTATGGATGGGGGTATACCACCTTTTTTAGCCTGGAGACTGAGATCCTGTCACATTAATGATAGCGGGTCAGCTGTCAAAGCTGGATGGCCAATTCAGCTTGGAAGGGTCAGCAGGCTGCAATGGAAAGTGGGTAAGATAGAGGGCGAATTCAGATGGAGGCAGCCTCCCTCCAACTTCTTAAAATCTTAACACATGGGTTTTCCAACCAGAGCGTCACTAGACAAGATGTTAAGAAAAAAGCATGAGCTTTCCCAGCAAGTTCTGTTTTCAAAAAAGAAAGCCTGTGTGGATTATTGGCTCCCAAACCATTTGTTCTTAAATTCATTCATAGATATGGGCATCACTAGCTGGGCCAACATTATTCAATGTGGAGGAGGAGCATCCAGGAAGGCGTGGAACATCTCAAGACGTAGCATCGGGTAAAAATGGAAGCCAGGCGAAAACAGCAAAAGGAGCGCGCTGCCACACCAACGCATCACCCACCCCTTCCTGTGACCACCACCTGCCCCAAAGTGTAAGAGAACCTGCAGTAGCCATATTGGTCTTTACAGTCACCTACAGACTCATGCTGAGAATGGAAGAGAGTCATCCTCATCAGCAACGGACTGCTGATGATGATGATGACCCTTAAGAGTCAACCACATTGCTGAGGATCTGGAGTCACTTGTATTCCAGACCAGGTAAGGACAACAGCGGCCTTTCCTAAAAGACATTAGTGACCCCGATGGTCTGTAACATAATCAACTGTTGTTTTATGGTCATCATTCGACTTTAAATGGGATTTTTTTGTTTTAAATCAGATTTGATCCCCACCATCTGCTGTGGTGGGATTCAAACCCAGGTTCCCTAGAGGATTACTGAATTGTTAGTCCAGTGGTACCACCAAAATGCCTTAACCCCCTGACATAATGAGGCATCCTACTGGCAATGAAAGCATCCACTGCCATCTTTGGGAACCTGGCCTCTGACTAAGTATTCATGATGGCCTAAAGGCCTCTACATCCAATGTCAGTGGAGAACTGAAAAATAAACTGACATCCTTGCCCGACATTCTGTTATTGTTCTGCAACTCCTTCATTCCTGCATTGCAAAGCGGTGCACTTTAAGACAGGCAGACCCCAACTTACAAGTGTCCGACTTACAAATGCTTATATCTGTAAACTCAATCCCACACAGGCGTGTAATTTTAAAGTTCCGACATACATTTCCTCGGACTGACAAATGGCTACTTTACATTGTCCTTCACTGTGTTTCAACTTGTGTACAAATCAACTTGTGAACAGAACTGATTCACATTGCGGAGACTGCCACAAGCATTTGAGAAGTACTTCAATCCAGCCATTTACTTGACTGATTTGTAGCAACTCTCAACAGCTACATACATTCCCAATTGTCAGCTTATCTACTCTAAACCATGAATTATGCAAATGTACTCACGGATAGAATTGACGTTCATGACAGCGCAGACTCAAATCTAAAAAGCTTTTCAGCAGATAACTTCCAATTCCATAAAACCATTTGCAATTAACCTGATCTTACAATCAATTAATGCTAACAGCTACAGTACAGTGTGCTGACCTTCATTCCAATATGTTGATACAGTGTTCCATTGTTGCTAACTCTAAAACCACCCAAAGACCTGGGCCTGATTCTGCTCAAGCTGTAAGTGCTAATAGTTAACATGTCATTAAACTGGACACCATTTGAATTAGCAGTACTTGTTTGAGAGACAATTCCACACAGAATTGTTGGAGAAAGAGGCCATTCAGCCCATCATGCCCATTAAATGAGCCTCAGTACCTCATGCCAATCTTCTTTTTCCCCGTACCCTGGCACATCACTTTTATCCAAATAACTATCCAATACCCTTTTTGAACCAGCCTCCACCACATTTCCAGGCAGTGTATTCCAGACAAACAGGAGGGTGGAAGAACACAGCAGGCCAGGCAGCATCTGGAGGAGAGGAGCAGTCAACGTTTTGGGTATTACCCTTCTTTAGGACTCCTCCTCTCTGGGGAGAACAGTCCCAACTTCTGCAATCTCTCCTCATCACTGAAGTTCCTCACCCCTGGAACCATTCTTTTGTACCACTTCTGCATTCTCTTCAATATATTCATAAAACCCATTTCAGCACATAATTTCTGCAGCTACTTGAAGAAATTGAAGTCAGATGTCTCTGTGAACTGCTGTGGGCTGCCTGAATGCAGGCATCAGAATTCCCAAAATGGAATAGTGTCAGGCCACATTCTGAGATAATACTCCCACTGCAGTAAATCTGTGACCGGCAGGGAATCTGCCACCTGGACTGTTTCTGAAGTATGCAGTAGTCCTCATAGAGCCTGAGAATCCCTGTTGTTTCCCAAGCTCAGAAAGGCTGCGACTTCATTGAAACAAAGTGATTGCACAAGAGTAACAAATATTTTAAATTTCCCAGCTCCTGAAAGATATGTGCTGGGAGCATTGCAGAATGCCTCCTATTCTGGCACAGTAACTATGGCAGAAACACCACTAATAAAGGGGCTGTAATAACATCCCTGGACTAGTAATCCAAAGGCCTAAACACCTCCCAGTCGCGAACTACTTCAAATCCCCCTCCTACTCCCTGGATGACATGTCCATCCTGGGCCTCCTCCAGTGTCACAACGATGCCACCCGGAAACTGGAGGAACGGCACCTCATATTCCGCCTTGGAACTCTACAACCCAATGGTCTCAATGTGGACTTTACAAGCTTCAAAATCTCCCCACCCCCGACCTCATCCCCAGACCAGCACCCCCTCTCATCCCCGCCTCCTTGACCTGTCTGTCTTTTCTCCCACCTACCTGACCCTCCCTCCTCACTGACCAAACCCCATCCCCACTTCCCACCTACACTCACCTTTACTAGCTTCATCCCGCCTCCTTGACCTGTCCATCTTCTCTCCCACCTATCTGCTCCACTATCCACCTTCTATCACTGCACCCCCCCCCTATTTATTTCAGAGCCCCCTTCCCCTCCCCCATTTTTGAAGAAGGGTCCAGACCCGAAACATCAGCTTTCCTGCTCCTCTGATGCTGCTTGGTCTGCTGTGTTCATCCAGCTCCACACCTTATTATACCAGATTCTCCAGCACCAGCAGTTCCTACTATCTGAGTGAGTTATCTACCATTCTTACCTGCTCTGCGCCATAATTGACTCCCGACCCACATGATTGTTTTCAGATAAGGGGTAACAGATTTAAAACTGAGATGTGGAGGAAATACTTCTCTCAAAGAGTGGTGAATCTGTCGAATTCACTCCCCCAGAGTGTAGTGGATGTTGGGCCATTGAATAAATTTGAGGAAGAGACTGACAGATTTTTAATTAGTAACGGGTTGACAGGTGATGGAGAGTGGGCAGAAAGTGAAGCTGAAGTCGCGATGAGATCAGCCATGATCATATTAACTGACAGAGCGTGCTTGAGGGGCTGAACTGCCTACTCTTGATCCTATTTCTTATGTTCTTATGCCTCTTAACTGCCCTCTGAAAGGACATAGCAAGGCTCTTGATTCATGGACAATTATGCAACAACCAGACCCCTGAAAGAATACAGAGAAATAAAACAGAGATTCTACTAAAATGACAGAGGACACCCAAGGAGTCTGGGAGCAAGGTCTTGGAGCAATCATACTTCGGGCATAATTTACAAACCATTATCAAAACCCTTGGTTCAGATGTGAGTAAATTTGCTTACCTTTTCTCTTGTATTATAAATCAATTGTTTTGTGCTGCTTTTCCTCAGTGGATTTGCAATTTGTTTTTGCTTACAGAGCAAACATTTTGTTTATTTACTCTAGCTCACTTTGTGCTTTTCTTGCCAACCTTCCTCCCTTTTCCCGTTATTTCCATGATTGCAAAATATATAATTCTCCTCACGTCACCCCTTTATTTCTCCCCGTGAATGCCTGCAGTACAGAACCAATACAGTTAACATAAGACCCCCAATTCAAAGAACACAGTATTGCTCAGGATATTTATTTCTATGCTATACATAATAAAATATTGAGGAAAAAAATATAATTTTAATTTTAATGGTGTACTGCTTGGTGTCATACTACATTTCCTGCATCACTCTGATTTAGCACATGGTACTAATGTTCCAAACAGGGTGAAAATGATAGAGCTCATTTACTGAGTCTGCACTCCAGACAAGGGAACTGTGTCCTCTGGGAGCATGCATTCAAAGTTTGTGTAAACTATGCCCACAATTTTCCAGCCTTCACTGCACATCCTTGCCTCAGTCTCAGAAACTGTATGGAAATAGGGCAGAATTCACACTGTGCACTGCATAAAATCACAGCTACCTGTGACTGAAAGGTGGTAATCCATCTTGGAGACAGATGATGCTGATGCTCTGTTGGAGCTTTGTTGCCTGGGTTAGAGTGTTATTGGAATTCTATACTGACATTGTCTGACTCACTATACTGACTCACCGCCAGACATTTGTTACTCTAAAATTTGTTATTTTTCCACTAAACGTGTATCATACACAGTACAAAGTCCCCAGTTTTGTGTGAAATGTCCGTGGTCCTCATATAACCAGCCAAACATTTACTGTTCCCCTTATCGTTTCCAGCATCAGATAAATGTTAGAGCAAGTGATGCAACCTACAACAATAGAATAGAATAATAGTGTAGAATATAGAAACATAAAGCCTTGCAGCATAGAATGAGACCATTTGGCCCATCAGATTCATAGTGGCCACCGAATAGCCATCCAGCTTAACGTCAGCGTCCAACTTTTGGACTTTAGCTTTGGCAGTTGCAGCCATCAAAGCCGATAAGCAGATCATAACCGTTTAAACGTGATGAGAGGTTCTGCCTTGATTATTATTTCAGGGAGTGAGTTCCAAAACTCCACCATTCTCCGGAATAAAAGATTGCTCCTTGAATCTCCCCTAACCCTTCTACCTCAAACTCACCCTGGTTACAGATACATCAGCCATAAGGGGAAATAATTCCTGCAGGGCTAACAGGCTCCAACAATTACCTTTCAGACAAAAAGAAGATGGTGTAGTTTAGCATGTTTTGATGATATCATTTGGTTCTGAATGTCAAGCAATGAGAGTTTCTCGAAACCAACTCCACCATCATGGAACGTTGTGACATTGGTGAGGAAAAAATTATACATTAATTTTATTTGCAGAGTCAGATTTAGAGTAGATAATGGTTACAGAACCAGAAAATGATTCTCTCATTTTTCCTCAAAGTGGTTACTCAAGCTGGGGTGTAATTTCTGTGTCAGGATCTCGTCAGTATCCATCATTGTCCATGTCGATTTTTCAAATGAGCAAAGTAACAGATTCATCCAACAGCTACAAGAACCCATAGTGGTAATGATCTCTGGATAGCAAGCCAGAATGATGACAGTGGCTAATCCTGCAGTATCCTGCACTCTTGCTCAGTCACTGACTCCCTGACTCAGAACAAGAAATTCGGAACAATTAAGAGTCATAACGTCATGCCTACTGGTGTCAGATCACTTGCTACATTTATCCCCTTAGGTCAGTAAAGTCAATACCTTTCAAAGAAAACAGAAACAAATGAAACACTCCTGGGACTGAGAGCAAAGAGTGAAAACTATTCATTCCCAATTAGCAAAATAAACGATACTTTCAATTGGCTGGGATAAGTCTCATTCTTTGGGCTCTGTTTTATCTTCAGGCTGACATCTACATATGTTTATGTTTCCCTGGCAGAATCTTGCAGCCAAATATCCAACTCAGTCTGGCTGAGCTGGAGATGGTTGTTCAATATGGCAGAATAGGCACAATTAACGAATCCTAACTTAAAACCAAGTCAACTCTTCTGGGATGCTCCCTGTTGTCGCTTTGGGTGGTATCCAAGCAAAGATGAAGGTATTTGACTTTTGTTTCATTCCTTCATCTAAAATGATCTTGGATGTTGTCTACCTCCAGCCCAAACATCAGGCACAGCATCTGCTCCCAGGAAGTAATGTTGTTACAATTATATAAGGTGTTGGTGAGACCACACCTGGAATATTGAGTCCAGTTCTAGTCTCCTTACTTCAGGAAGGATGTGGTGGCACTGGAGGCAGTTCAGAGAAGGTTCACCAGGTTGATTAGAGGGATAAGATGGCTATTGTATGAGGAGTGGTTGAATAGCTTGGTCTTGTACTCACTAGAGTTCAGATGATTGAGGAGGGATCTGATTGACGTATATAAAATGTTCAAGGGGATTGTTAAGGTGGACGTTGAACAGATGTTCTCCTTCGTGGGAGAGTCTTGACAAGATGGCACAGATGTACAGTGAGAGGAGGTAGGTTTCGAACTGAGATGAGGAGAAACTACTTCTCTCAGAGGGTTGTGAATCTGTGGAACTTACTGCGCCACAGTGCAAGGAACTTAAAATCAATCAACAGATTCAAGAAAGAAACAGGTACGTTTCTGATGAAAAATGGGATAAAGGGCTATGGGGAGCAGGCAAGAAAGTGGAGTTGACACAAGGATAAGATCAGCCATAATCATGTTAAATGGCAAATGGGCTCGAACAGCTGAATTACCTCCTCCTGCTTTTAATTCTTATGTTTCTATTTATGCTGGTCTTCTCTATAAATCATGTATGGGAGTTCCAAGAGAGCGGCCAAGAAGATTTTTCTGACAGGAGCCCAAATGGTCTTCACATGATTTCTTCCACAATGGTGCTTTGTAAATTGAAAATCATCTGGGTGACTTCAGTTATCACGCCCAGTTTTTGCTCCAAGTCAAATGGCAGCATTAGATCTTTCAATGATTGAACCACTTCTTGCCTACCATCAAAGGATTACTCTCAATTAAAGATTCAAAGTTACTAAGTAGTTTGAATTTGGTGCTGATTTTGTACGTATAGGAACTCTGTTTAAAAATGCCAACTACCTTTCTTTATATTACTTACTAATAAGAGTTTCAGGCTGCTATACCTTTCAATGAGTAAAAACCCAGCAGTTCGAATATAATATGGGAAAATGTGAGGTTATGCAGTCTGGCAGGAAGAATGGAAGAGATGAATAGTTTTTAAATGGGGAAAGACTACAGAAAGCTGCAGCACAGTGGGATTTTTAAAAATTCATTCATGGCATGTGGGTATCACTGACTGGGCCAGCATTTACTGCCCATCCTTCATTGCCCTGGAGGAGGCGGTGGTGAGCTGCCTTCTTGAACTGTTGTAGTCCATGTGCTGTGGGTAGACACACAATGCCCTTAGGGAGGGAACTCCAGGATTTTGACCCAGTGACACTGAAGGAACAGTGATATGTTTCCAAGTCAGGACGGTGAGAAATTGCAGGTCATGGTGTTTCCATATAGCTGTTGCCCTTGATCTTCTAAATGAAAGTAATCATGAGTTTGGAAGGAGATGTCTAAGGAGTTTTGGTGAATTTTTGCAATGCGTCTTGTAGATGGTACACACTGCTGCTGCTGAGCGTCGGGGGTGGAGGGAGTGGATGTTTGTGGATGTGGTGCTAATCAAATGGGCTGCTTTGTCGTGGATGGTGTCAAGCTCCTTGAGAGTTGTCGGAGCTGCACCCATCCAGGCAAGTGGGAAGTGATCCATTGAACTCTTGACTTTGGGGGTCCTCATGCATAAACCACAAAAAGCTGGCATTCTAATTCAGCGAAGAACAGAAGGGCAAATGCAATAATGGTCTTTATTTAAAAGGGAATGGGGTATTAATAGTATGAAGTTGTTGCTAAAACTGTACAAGGCAATAGTTCAACCACACCAGGAATAGTGTGAACAGTTTTGGTCATCTTATCTAAGGAGAGGTACACTGGCTTTGGAGGCAGTCTAAAGAAGATTCATTAGGTTGATTCTGTGTAGACAGACACTGTGTTCTGAAGAGAGATTGAGTAGGTTGGTCCTGTACGCATTGAAATTTAGAAGAATGTGAGGCAAACTTATTGAAATATATAAGATTCTTTAGGGATTGACAGGAGAGATGTGGAGAGGTTGTTTCCCCTTGTGGGAGAGTCTAGAACCAGAGGGCATCATCTTAGAGCAAGGAGTCACCCATTTAAGACAGGGATGAGGAGGAATTTCTTCTCTTAGAGGATAGAGAATATGTGGAATTCTTTACCACAGAGGGCTGGGTTGATAAATATATTCAAGGTTGAGACGGACAAATTTTTAATCAGCATAGAAATCAAGGGTTATAGGGAAAAGGTAGAAAGTGGAGTTGAGGATTATCAGATCAGCCATGATATTGTTGAATGGTGGAGCAGATTTGATGGGCCGAATGACTTCTGCGCCTACATCTTATGGTTTTATGTCAGAGTTTGTTATATTCAGGTGGCTGCTCACTGTCTTAAATTGGTCTTTCCAAAAACCTGACAGGAAAGTATATTCAGTATAACATACCAGCAGTCAGAATGAACACGTCCCATACAATGGACCACACCATCTGGAACAGAAAGAGAAATTTAGTCTGTGCATATCAGTCAACTTTAAAATATCACAGCAAATCTAAACATTTTAATTTGGCTTACTTGGAAACAATATGTTTAAGAACTTTACTTCTTCCTCAAAACTCCTTTGAGCATAATCTTGGCTTGTTGGTTTTCTAAATTTTTTGCGAGAGAAAAAGATATCCTGAAAAGAAAAAGATTCACACATCAATTACGTCTCTTGTGACCTGCTTATCAGTTGCTTCTTTCTTTTTTAATTCTCTTGTCTTTTTTTTCTGTTGGATTTATCTGTCTTCACTGTTCTGCCATTTCTCACGGCTTGTTTTCTGTGCTCATGAGAAGCTGCTGTTTAACAGTCAAAGCAGAAATACAAGGCAGAACCTCGCTAGCCAGTGAATGAGGTGGGAAATGGCGAGGAAGTTGGGAGAATTGCATGAGTTGGCCAGTGAGGATCTTCTCAAAATCAAGAGCACTAGGTCCCATTTTCCAACTGAGTGTTGAATGATGAGATGAGATTCTCACTGGGGAGCGGCGAGAGGACTCTTTACATTCATTAACATACATTAACATCATCAATATTTCATCATCTCTCCTCATTAATATGCAGTTTCACATTCCCATCCCCCACCCTGGATAGAAACCAGAGGGAGGCAATTCCTGACATGAAAGTCTGAGCAGGTTCCTGGTGATTCTAGTTCACATTTTGCTCCTCCGGACCTCCATCAATCACCAAGGTCTTAGGGCACATTCCATGGGCAGTGACCGCACACACACCTGTCTACCAGGACCCCCAGATGCCCGTTGGCACAGCTAGTGCCAAATTGCCTCTGGCTGACATATCTGGGGCAGTTGACAGGAACCACGTGGGGTAACTGTTGACAGCCAACGCTTGACCAGTTGCCAGGAATTGTGGGAAATCCAGGCAGTGGACTGTATTTCCAGCTGTGGTGCGTGGGGCAATGGTGCATAGGTAATGAGGAGAGTTTGGGAAGATAGTGTAAGAAAACTCACTAGTGCTCAAGGAGAAAATCCCTCCATGAAACTCTCCAAAACTGATACTTTACCGATAATATCTTGTAAGATTCAGCCCATAAACTTTGACCAAGAGTCCAGACTCCTGTTACTTGAGTTGCATGGTAAATAATCCTTTCATTTTGCATTGTATCCTTCCTTGACATGTTGGTGATAAAGTGAAATCTCCCTGGTTTTTCCCTTCCTCAATGGCGTCAAAGCCACAATATGTTTGCGCCAGTTCCAAAAAGGGTCCCACTGCCTGTAACAAGAAGATGGTACCACAGATCTTCAGAATGTAGCGTCTCTTCAATACAAACATACTGCTCTCACCAGCAAGAAACCACATGGAATAAAAAAGATTGTACTTCACACAAAAAGAAGTTATATTTAAATAGAGATAACAAGGTGTAGAGCTGGATGAACACAGCAGGCCAAGCAGCATCAGAGGAGCAGGAAGGCTGACATTTTGGGTCTGGACCCTTCTTCAGAAAA